GTTTAAGACATGCCAGGGACATGTTGGAGACATGTTTAAGACATGCCAGGGACATGTTGGAGATGTGTTTAAGATATGCCAGGGCCATGTTGGAGACATGTCAGAGACATGTCAGAGACATGTTAGAGAGATGTCAGAGACATGTTAGAGACATGTTAGAGAGATGTCAGAGACATGTTGCAGACATGTTAGAGAGATGTCAGAGACATGTTGCAGACATGTTAGAGAGATGTCAGAGACATGTTGGAGACATGCTAGAGAGATGTCAGAGACATGTTAGAGAGATGTCAGAGACATGTTAGATAGATGTCAGAGACATGTTAGAGAGATGTCAGAGACATGTTAGATAGATGTCAGAGACATGTTAGAGACATGTTAGAGAGATGTCAGAGACATGTTGGAGACAAGTTAGAGAGATGTCAGAGACATGTTAGATAGATGTCAGAGACATGTTAGATAGATGTCAGAGACATGTTGGAGACATGTTAGAGAGATGTCAGAGACATGTCAGAGACATGTTAGATAGATGTCAGAGACATGTTAGATAGATGTCAGAGACATGTTAGAGAGATGTCAGAGACATGTTAGATAGATGTCAGAGACATGTTAGAGACATGTTAGAGAGATGTCAGAGACATGTTAGTATCAGTTTTGAAGTACAGTGTTTGTTGTTGGGAGCATGAAAAACAGAAGTTAGAGTTACCTACCATCAGGTTTTATGGTCTCAGCTGGACTTTTAGAAACAGAACTGAACTAGAGGAAGTCATCTCAACGAGGTTTTGGTACCAAATAAAATCCAGACCTTTTTACTTAGAAAGAAGTTTCTGTCTGTTTTTCTTCTCAGGTCAATGTCCTCCAGGCAAAGAAGAAGTTTGAGATCCTTGATGCTGTAAGTTAATTCAGGTTTATTCACCTGGATCTTTCCCACACATACAAGTTGATGTGACCGCTCCTGCTTTTTTAAAATGTTTCCATGCAGATGTTGTCCTTCATGCACGCACAGCGCTCACTGTTCCAGCAGGGCTACAACCTGCTGAATGAACTGGACCCCTACATGAAGAAATTGGCTGCTGAGGTGAGCAGATCCCACCGGGCTGAGGCCTCTGCCCAAATATCCGGTTTGAACTTGTCCTGAAATGTTCTGTAAACTTTGAGCTAACAACTGAGATGAGACGGCGGTAATAAACTGCACATTTTGTTTTGTTGCRCATGTTTTAGTTCAGCTGTCAGTTTGTTGCAGCAGATATTGAGCAGAATCAATGCTTCATCAGCAAACATTGACCCAGCGTGTGACTGGTGGCTCAGCCTGGCTCAGCAGCTCTGATATACTGGACATGTTCTGGTTCTGAAGCTGCARTATTTATTAACTTTCAGCTGGATCAGCTGGTGATCGATTCAGCCATGGAGAAGAGAGAAATGGAACATAAACATGCAACTATTCAGCAGAGGGTGAGTTCCTGTAGATCCGAGACATTTCTGAACACTTTGAGTCAAATCTCTTTTATAACAARACTTGTGTACAGAGTGCTGCAGTTAACTCAGGTTTTGTGCTTGTTATAATTACTAATTATGGTTTTCAGATAAGTATGGCTCAGTGCAGGCTGGTTGTATGTGGTAGTATTTGCTGGTGTTTCTGTGCATTTATCTTGCTAAATTTGTCAAGTTGAAAGTGTTTTGACCTTTAAAATGGTTGCCAGATTTTTAGTCCTGCTGTTTGGATCCACTTGGTCCAGAGATCTGTTGTGACTGGATGTGGATTAGCCCTGCAGCAGGGAGGTGTTGGATTAATCTCCCTAATAAAGTTAAGGCACTAATCTGCAAATCAGCTGGAACTAAGTGTTTTAGGAGCTGTTAATCCCACTGTTGTTGTCTGTAGTTGTTAACCATTAGCACACCTTTAATCTGTAATCTGCTGACTCTAAACTTCTGTGTATTCTCAGAAATGTGGCTGTGTGGATAATGCTGACAGACTTAAACTGCATGATGAGTTAGATTGCAGAAACTGATCAGGTTTCTTTGATGGCTTCACCTACTTCCAGATTGTTGGAAGGAAAATCTAATTATTTGATGTTTGATCATCTTGAATAATCTCACAAACAGGAACATGTTGGTTTAGTAAAAAAGATGTTCTGTGTTTGCTGAACTTATGTCGACTGGTTACTCCCAGATACTAACTAATTAATTTTAAGGACCAGTATCATGTGTTTCTCAGGCACAGTTCAGTTCTGTACCRAAAACAAGTAACTATGTCACCTTCAGTTGTTATGAAAAAGCTGTTTATATGTATAAATCAAAAATAAATTTGACTTCACAACATAGCCATTTCTAAACACCTTCAAACTGGTCTCTGTCTCTTTAAGAACCTCCTACCGCTTCTGTCACGCCCATTTCAGTAAGTCATCACAACAGCTTCATTTGTTTAGAACTAGTCTTAGGAGCATTGGGCCTCATGCAAGAACCGTTCGTACGCACAGATTTGTTCTTAAGTTGTGCGTTCGAGTGATTTAGGAGAATTTGTGGCATTCACCAATGTTTTCGTATTCTAAGATTTTTTTCAGATACGAACAAAATTCAGGAGTGGTCCAGACCTGTCGTATATTTTACGAGCAGTCAGTCTGCTGTCCTGATGCATCTCAGTAATCCAGGTAAAAAATCAAAAGGAAAAAAAATAGTATAGGTCTTCTGGAC